ACAGGCCTATGGGCAAATTTTAGAAAAGTTTAAGATACTTTTGTCAATGACAGCACGCTTTTTGAATTGCAGACAAAAATACAGTCAAGTAACCTAATTTCGTGGATTTCCGGAAAGGATTAATAATTTACATGTGCGACCTCGCGTGACCTCCGCATTTGCTTGTTTTGATAAACATGGGTTTTCTCTACAATATCAGCTACTAGAATGAATCCAGTAGTTTCAAGCAAGGTAAAATGTATTAATGTATACTTTGACAAATACAAAATGGCGGATTTCACTTATTACCAAACGTCACCATTTTTTATCGGCCGAATTTCCAAGCGGTAATCGGTAATCGGAATTCCAAGTGTTGTCTGCTGGAATGTAGTCCAACGAATGAAGTCACGTGATCAACTAGAGGATTTCGTGTCAGCAGAAAATTTCTATGGAACACAAAGTGGACCATATTCTTATGTTGTTTCAGTGACTTTTAGCAATAAATCAGGCTACGTATCTGATTTTGTCAGTAACTATTTTTTTTTTATCGTGGTTCTTTGAAGGAATTGTCACTAGTTGTAATGAATTGATATTAAAGATGAATACTAAGAGAAGTTAATTATACCACCCGGCATCCATAAACGTGTTTTTCTAAACTTATTTATAGATCAAACATTGTACACGAAAATAGGTGACGCTTGTTGCCGCTGTTGCCAAGTTGGTTGCTCATGAAATATGGGTCATAGTGAAGGATTCATTAAGAAAATCGAAATAAACCAATTTGAATTATTTTGTAGAATATCTGAGGAAACATCTAAGACATAAAAAAAAAATTTCGTTTTTTTATCTTTGACGAAATTCGGTGTTGAATCCTTATATCCACGAAAATAGGTTACACCACTGTACTAGAAATTCTTTGATTCAAAAATCAAAGTCTTTTATATGGACTCAGACTACTAAAATTGTTTATGCTTAACGAATATAGTCCGTGCTATTTTTATAAATCCTCTTTCTCCCTCCCTTTTGGGATTTTTGCATGCCTATTTTTGACTAATTTTTGGTCTAGATTTGGAATTTGATGTCTAAAAGATTTTCATGCGAAAGGATAATTCTAAAAATTGTCGTTTAGTGTGCAGTGACAGTCAAGCGGGTGTTGACAAAATGTAGTGTTCTAGCCTACTTTCAGTTTGGCTAGTTCAAGATTTTCACGGTCATGATATATTGAATTTTTTAGGAGACATAAAGGATTGGTTAGGCTTTCGTTGGACATATTGGAAAGCTTTCAACAAGATTTCTGGAAAAAGTTATAGAAGGCTGAATTTTGAGATTTAACTTGGAAACAGATGGCAAATGATTACCGGAGTGTGTCCATCCACCATCATGTTTTTTAGATACAAAAAAGGCAGTTATCTCCCTTAGTTTATAAACATGTTTTCTGGTTTGTCAATGCAAAGAAGAAGATTAATCAGTTTTTTATAAAAGCTTATTAACTTTCTAAATATTAGGCGTTTATATTAAGAGGTTTTCTAAATTTTTTATGTGTATCGGGGGTTGATAGCACCAATTTGCACCATTCCAGTTTCCAATCAGACATCTGTGGTTCTTGCGATTCCAGTTTTTTATGACGTTATTGGAATTGCAAGAACCACAGATGTCTGATTGAAAATTGGAATGGTGCAAATTGATGATATCAGTGTCTCTGATACACATAAAAAGTTTGAACTTTGCCTTCAGATTATAATATACCTGTTCAAATATTGGCGTACTATCAGGTTACAATAATCATAGCCACAAAATGGTGATGCGGATTTCTCAAAACATGACAAATGAAATATAACATAATTCTGAATATGCTAACATATTTCAAAATGAGATCTTGGTATTAAGGACACACTTATAAAATTTGAGACAGTAGATCACTGGTGGTGCTTGATTCAAGAGCTCCGAAGACGTTCTGTCTGCCTGTTGCAATTCTGCCCTCAAATGAATGGTTCGGCAGAGAATATGTCACATTCAAAATATTCCCATCTATTTCCTTCTCTGCCATTTTGAATTCTGTCTGCACTTACTATTTGTTCGGCACACATGGAACGTGTTCTGAACACTGTTCCAACTTGTTTTAATGAACATTCTGTTGATTCCATGAATCCTGAATGTGCAGGATTCACCAATCGAGCGAACCCACTGTATACAGGACTAACTTTTATAAAGCTCACAGCCGAATTCTTAGAATATTCAAGAAATCACATATCCAATACGGGAATCATGTAATTGTTTGTTGAAAAATTTATAACATTGAAAGAAATCATGCTGATAAATATGACTTCTATTCAAAAAAATCATGCTGTTGTTAAAGAATGGTTTATCCAATAAGAATCATGATGTTGTTAAAGAATGATGGATCCAATAAGAATCATGATCTGTTAAAGAATGGTGTATTCAATAAGAATCATGATGTTGTTTAAGAATGGTGTATCCAATAGAATCATGATATTGTTAAAGATTTATGTATCCAATAAGTTTCATGATGTTGTCAAAGGATGATGTATTCAATAAGAATCATGATGTTGTCAAAGAACGATGTATCCAATAATAATCATGATGTTATCAGGATGTTGTCAATCATGATGTTGTCAAAGTATGCTGTATCCAATAAGAATGATGATGTTGTAAATGTATGATGTATCCAATCAGACGATTTTATTTTGTAGAATTATGATTTACATCTAGTTAAAGCAAAGCCAAGCTGTTGTAGTAGCATGATTAACAACCAGTTAAAAATCCTGTTGTACAACATGAAGATATTGTTTTTAAAAAAACATGATCAAAAATGATTTTAACTTGTTACACTATGGCTAAACTGTTGCAGAATCATGATTTATATTTTTGAGAACAATGATGTTGCAGGAGCATGATTAACACATAGCAAAAAATCCTGTTGTACAACATGAAGCTATTGTTTTATAAAAACATGATTCAATATGATTTTAACTTGTTGCACTATGGCCAAGCTGTTGTAGAATCATGATTTATATCATTGAGAACCATGATGTTGTAGGAGCATGATTAACACCTAGCAAAATATCCTGTTGTACAATATGAAGCCATTGTTTTATAAGAATATGATCCAATAAGATTTTGACTTGTTGCACTATGACCAAAAGGTTGTAGACTCATGATTTATATCTTTGAGAACCATGATGTTGTAGGAGCATGATTAACACCCAGTAAAAAATCCTGTTGTACAACATGAAGCCATTGTTTTATAAGAACATGATCCAATATGATTTTAACTTGTTACACTATGGCCAAACTGTTGTAGAAATATGATTTTTATCTTTGAGAACCATGATGTTGTAGGAGCGTGATTAACACCCAGTAAAAAATCCTGTTGTACAACATGAAGCCAAGAACATGATCCAATATGATTTTAACTTGTTTCACTATGGCACTTGAGTTAATGTTGTATTAGCACTTTCTAGTTCACTAGGATTTTCATTGTGTAATTGAGTTAAACTTCTCATGGCTGGAGACAATTTAGATTGGACACTTTGAATATAACTCTGAAAAACATAATATTTTAAAATCAAACATGAGACATTTAATATTAAAGGGATTGTATAAAGGCTTTTTTGAAATTTTCTATGTGTATCGAAGACACTGATAGCATCACTTTGCACTATTCTAATTTTCAATCAGACCTCTGTAATTCCTCCAATTACACTAAAACTTAGTGTTTGATGATAACACTAATCACGAAGGATATAAATATTGGTGACGTCATCAAACACTTAGTTTTAGTGAAATTGCAGGAACCATAGACATCTGATTGGAAATTAAAATGGTACAAATTTAAATGTATCAGTGTCCCTGATACACATAAAAAATTCTAAAAACCTCTTTACAATCCCTTTAATTAGGTCACGAAATTTAAATTAAACATATACCGCGTTGAAATTTGATCTGATTATTTGGCTGTTTGAAAGTTTATATAAAGTAAGGAAATGATCCTAGTTGTATGTTAATGTATGTTTAGATTAGAAAGTCAATGTAGAAATCTATACCATGTCAACTCAAGCCAAGATCAACTCAAATCTTGTTTAAATAACCACTCGACTTCTTCAAACTTTTTAATTCTTCGTAACTTGGTCAAGCTACTCATTCTGGACACAAATCTTATTTAACCAATTCAATTAAAGGAATTGTAAAGAGGTTTTCTAAATTTTGTATGTGTATCAGGGACACTGATAGAATCAATTCGGTGGTTCTTGCAATTCCACTACTTAGATTTAGTGGAATAGCAAGAACCACAGACGTCTAACTGAAAATTTAAATGGTGTAAATTGATGCTATCAGCGTCCCCGATACACATCAAAAAATTAAAAAAATCTCTTCACAATCCCTTTAAGCAAGATATATATATATATGATCCTGGTATATCAAATATTATTATATATGTATTGTTTATCATAATAATGAATAACCAATGTTAGCTACTTCAATGAGATCAGAGTTTCTGACATTCCTCTTTCGAAATTGACTGTATTTAAACATTTCATACAAAAAATTTCACATTGAATTCATACAATCTTGAATGAGACTTGCTTTGAAGTCAAGAACACATTTTGACGGTTGCAGTGTGCATTACACTGAGCTGTGCTGTACACTGTCCCTCTGTATTTTGCACTGCCACCCCTCTGCTGTACACTGTCCCCTTGTGTTGTCCACTGTCCCCATGTGTTGTCCACTGTCCCTGTGCTGTACACATTCCCCCTGTGTTGTACACTGTCCCCCTGTGCTGTGCCTGTTCCCCTGCACTGTAAACTGTCCCCCTGTGCTGTACACTGTCCCCCTGTGCTGTGCCTGTTCCCCTGTGTTGTACACTGTCCCCTGTGTTGTGCACTGTCTCACTATGCTATTTTTAGAAATCATCTTTCAAAATTTTCATGGTCATGATATACTAAAATTTTGTCCGGAAACTAAGCATTGGCCAGGCTTTCATGTGACATATTGGGCAGTTTTCAACGAGATTTCTGGAAAAAGTTACAGAGGGTTGAATTTTGAGATTTAACATGAAACAGATGGCAAATGAATTGCTGGAAATGGTCCAGAATATTGCAAAATAAGAGAAGCTTTACCTGTGAAATAACATCACCATTAACTCTACGAACTTGATATAAATGACGATAACGTGATTGTTGAGCATCTCTACGCTGTTTAGCTCTAGCTTTCTGTAGGTTTACTTTCTTTGCTCGTTTAATATGTAATGCTGAAGGATATAAAAGACAATAATATTCATAAAAAGGCACCCTCAACTCTGATCAGCACCAAATCCATGGAGTGCATTAGTAATATCATAATATATTATATAAGCCATAGCTTCAACCTCAACAGATCCAAGGCAATGGTAGAAGCATTAAAGGGATTGTAAAGAGGTTTTATAAAATTTTTATGTATATCAGGGACACTGATAGCATCAATTTGCATTATTCCAATTTTCAGAATTGGTTGCTGCAATTCCAATAACAATATGTGTCATCACAAATCGCAAACTAATCGCAAACTGAGCTTTATCACCTTGAGATTAGTGATGTTATCAAACACTTAGTTTTAGTGGAACCACAGCATGTCTGATTGAAAATTGGAATGGTGTAAATAGTGTCCCTGATACACATAAGCAATTTTAGAAAACTTTACAATCACTTTAAGCAAACTGCAATAGTAGCTCATGTAAATATCAAAAATATTTATACAGAAGCCAAAATATAATGATTATACTTAAGCCGCATTAAGCTTTCATAGTTATAAGAATTCCAGTTACATTTTGCATCCTTAGCTTGCACCATCAACTCACCTTGACGATGGTCCACGCCCTGCCCAGTTATTTTCCACTGAGTAATAGTTCCCACCACAAAACAAAACGGCCAGCAGCTTAAAATTAACCAGCTGTACCAACAAACAGGTCCAGACACATCTCCCTTCACCCGATCCCACACATACAACACAATTAGAAATTGTTCGATAAAATAGTCCAAGCAAGCTATCATTAACGCTCCTCCAAAAATACTTGTCCCCAAAATTGTCATGCTTCTCTGGAATTTCAGAATTAACACTGCCGAAACTAATCCCAAACCAACCAGGATTCCGATTGGAATCCATTTTGTTTCAGGATGTAGAAATTGTTCCAGGATTATCAATACTCCTGTTGCTAGGGCTATTCCTAGATGAAAGCCTGTTAAGAACAGTCCCACGTATTGCACAAGCATGGTGATCAGTCCACACAATATTCCAGCTCCTATAGCTACACCAGCATTGCCTTCTGGTGGAAGTAGTTCCTCCTCCAAACAGATCATATAAACTAACACAGAGCCGAATATAAAACCAGTTAAAAACATAACCGCTTTAAATAACCTATAACCTGAAATAAAGAAAGTTATAAGTTAAAAATAGTTATTCACTGTTCATTCAGCCATGAAAATTACTTTTTAATAATTAGAATTAGGGCTAGGTATCGATTACCAAATTGAGATCGATTATCGATGTCAATAATCGAAAAAATTTAATTGAGAACCCCTGTAAATGCTAAATTTCTTAATTTTATGGGTAAATTTTGCGTCATATAAGTATATCCTTGCTTTGATCGGTTATTATAGTTTATTGTGGGTATGTTATGTGCTGAAGGGAAACTATGTAGAAGAAATTATGACAGATATACTGGAGAAAATATAATCGATTATGAAATTTGATAATCTATAATCCAAATTATAAATTTTAGGATGATAATGGATTATTTCGGTTATTTTACTCAGCCCCAATTAGAAAAATACCTTGAGAACAGCATTGGCTTCTACAAAATGGTTCAGAAATGAAATGAATGGAGTTTTACTTTTCTACACTATGTGGACCAATGAAGACGGGCAAAGCCATGCAGGGTGCAATGAGAGAAATTTTGCCAGGACATTGACATTAGCAACCTCTTGTTCGATTTCCAACTGTCAAGGGATCTTTAACGTACACAGCCTGTAGCACAATGGGCCTCAGTTTATTGTCCAATCCAAACAAATAGACGCTTTTTCCATGTCAGTTCCTCTCACCTGCATTACTGACAGGGGGAAACCCGGTTGAAAAACCCCGAGGTATTATTTCCAGGATTTTTGCCAGGATTGAACCCTGGAACTTCAGGTTAGCAAGCAAGCATCTACCTCACTGAGCCACTGAGGTTCCCTCCAAAATGGTTCAGAGCTGGATGACTATAGTGGAAAGTAAGAAATAAATTTTGTAATGGGTACATTAATCCAAATCCATTGAGAATTAAATCAGGAAATAATATACATCCTTACCGAAAAAAGTATATACAATGCCAAATATAAAACACATGACTACTATTATGGCTGGGGCGATACTATAATTAGTATCAATATGGTGACAGATATCTGGTTCTGGTGGTATCCATGGAGTGGTATTATAAACCAGTGTGGTGGACTCCATATCTTCCACTGTCACTGAATCTGTTGGTATAGTGGTCCCTTGACTAGTTCTAATAGTTGACATCTTTAACTAATCCGTCAACAAACATGGAATGGACGTCTTTTCGACTTCGTAAACAGACCACTTCAAACTATACCGCCATTATTTACATATTTCTATGGTTGTCTTCGTTGAAAAAATAGTTGATGGTACAGTTCCCTGAAAAAAGAAAGAAAAAAGTTTGGTTATGTTTGGTTGGTAAACAAACTGGACGTTAAGCTTAGATACAAATACATGATTTAAACCAGATTAGTTAGCCTAGTACAGACTGCTAGCGAGTGTTTTGATAAGGCTGTCCTGGGATATCTGATCTCACCACAAAACAATGACTTATTTGAGGTCTACATATAGGCGTAGGAGACTGGGAACAGAGCCTACCCCCCTCAAATATTATCTTTAGCTTTTATTTTTTATATAGCCACTTCAGTTTTAACGACAGCCCTCTTAACTAACTAAGACGAATATGATTTTTACAATCCCTTTAAATCAGGCACTTTCTCCCACTTCATATTTCGTATGTATGTAATAGGTGATGATTTCATCAAGACCCCACCTTTTTCTTACACTTTTTTTTTCTGATCAATAGAGATAGGAAGAGAAAAACCTCCATTTTTACTCCCATTTTTTCAACAAGATGTCAGCAATATTTGTGATAAGACTGAATTGTATCTTGTTCAATAAATACCGCCATCCATCACTGCTAACTGATCTTGATAACATTAAACCCATCCCATTAGACCGAAACATCTGCCTCTACTCCAGACTCTGATACCTATTATGAAACGTGTCAGCCTGTGTAGGGTCAGAAAAACTAGGCCATGTTTTGGGGAGATTTTTTCGTACCTCCGAATGTGCTGCAATTCTATTAATTTATTTTTTTATGAAACCGATCATTTGTTGGTCATTTTAAAAAGCTCAGAGTCAAAAAGTCAGGAGATAATAACAATACTAATTTACAATCATTCGTTACTATGTCATACTATTTTAATATTATGTTGGAAAAAACATATATTCGAAGGTGAGGAAAATCCCCATAAAACAGGGCCTAGTATTTCTGACTCCAGCCGATAACTGTCACAATATCTATCAGAGGCTGGAATAGAGTGTTTCAGACTACTGGCCCATAAACAATATTCTCTTTTTATTACTAACCTATAACAGTGGTAGTAACTGTCAAGTCAGGCGTCAAATTTGGCTTACAAAGTGATAACATCACATAGCATTTTACATTAGCATGTAGCAAATTATTACATTTCTCAGCCTTTTCTGATGTCAGTGTCGGTGGTCAGTGTTTATATAAAAAAGTCATGAGGTGAGGTTTCAAGCTATTTATAACAGACAATTATGTGCCCCTCTCCCGCCAATCAGTATCACTTTTACAAGCGAGTATCAACATTCTCGTAACTCATTGGACAAATAGATCTATTTCGGTTTTTGATATCCCAAAATTCATGATGTGCTGTGATTGGTTGAATTAAAGATCAACAGTTTACTGATAGATTACAATAACAAGGAACGAAATTGAAATTTCTAGTAAAACTAGATGTCAACTGAGAAAGATCTTAAACCATACATATTGCTCCATCAGCTATAAACAAGAGTGCTGGGTATCGTCAATCATGCCACGATACGATATGTCACAATACAACATGTATCGAAATATGTGGTAATGGGATAAAAATTAACATTTTCTTTATATATTAATTCATAACTTTATAACTGTGATATTTGGTAATGTTGTTGATAGAAGTGGTTAGCGTCCATTGTCTTATAAATAGTTTCTATATATATTAATTTAAAACTTTATAACTGTGATATTTGGTAATATAGTTGATAGAAGTGGTTAACATCCACAGTCTTATAAATAGTTTCTATATATATTAATTTATAACTTTATAACTGTGATATTTGGTAATATAGTTGATAGAAGTAGTTAGCGTCCACTGTCTTATAAATAGTTTCTATATATATTAATTTATAACTTTATAACTGTGATATTTGGTTATATAGTTGATAGAAGTGGTTAACATCCATTGTCTTATAAATAGTTTCTATATATATTAATTTATAACTTTATAACTGTGATATTTGGTTATATAGTTGATAGAAGTGGTTAACATCCATTGTCTTATAAATAGTTTCTATATATATTAATTTATAACTTTATAACTGTGATATTTGGTAATATAGTTGATAGAAGTGGTTAACATCCACAGTCTTATAAATAGTTTCTATATATATTAATTTATAACTTTATAACTGTGATATTTGGTAATATAGTTGATAGAAGTAGTTAGCGTCCACTGTCTTATAAATAGTTTCTATATATATTAATTTATAACTTTATAACTGTGATATTTGGTAATATAGTTGATAGAAGTGGTTATTGTCTAATAAATAGTTTCTATATATATTAATTTATAACTTTATAACTGTGATATTTGGTAATATAGTTGATAGGAGTGGTTAGCGTCCATTGTCTTATAAATAGTTTCTATATATATTAATTCATAACTTTATAACTGTGATATTTGGTAATATAGTTGATAGAAGTGGTTAGCATCCATTGTCTAATAAATAGTTTCTATATATATTAATTTATAACTTTATAACTGTGATATTTGGTAATATAGTTGATAGAAGTGGTTAATGTCCACTGTCTTATAAATAGTTTCTATATATATTAATTTATAACTTTATAACTGTGATATATGGTAATATAGTTGATAGAAGTGGTTAGCATCCATTGTCTAATAAATAGTTTCTATATATATTAATTTATAACTTTATAACTGTGATATTTGGTAATATAGTTGATAGAAGTGGTTAACATCAACTGTCTTATAAATAGTTTCTATATATATTAATTTATAACTTTATAACTGTGATATTTAGTTATATATTTGATAGAAGTGGTTAGTGTCCACTGTCTTATAAATAGTTTCTATATATATTAATTTATAACTTTATAACTGTGATATTTGGTAATATATTTGATAGAAGTGGTTAGTGTCCACTGTCTTATAAATAGTTTCTATATATATTAATTTATAACTTTATAACTGTGATATTTGGTAATATATTTGATAGAAGTGGTTAGCGTCCACTGTCTTATAAATAGTTTCTAGATATATTAATTTATAACTTTATAACTGTGATATTTGGTAATATAGTTGATAGAAGTGGTTAGCGTCCACTGTGTAATAAATAGTTTCTATATATATTAATTTATAACTTTATAACTGTGATATTTGGTAATATAGTTGATAGGAGTGGTATAACATCCACTGTCTTATAAATAGTTTCTATATATATTAATTTATAACTTTATAACTGTGATATTTGGTAATATAGTTGATAGAAGTGGTTAATGTCCACTGTCTTATAAATAGTTTCTATATATATTAATTTATAACTTTATAACTGTGATATTTGGTAATATAGTTGATAGAAGTGGTTAATGTCCACTGTCTTATAAATAGTTTCTATATATATTAATTTATAACTTTATAACTGTGATATATGGTAATATAGTTGATAGAAGTGGTTAGCGTCCATTGTCTTATAAATAGTTTCTATATATATTAATTTATAACTTTATAACTGTGATATTTGGTAATATAGTTGATAGAAGTGGTTAGCGTCCACTGTGTAATAAATAGTTTCTATATATATTAATTTATAACTTTATAACTGTGATATTTGGTAATATAGTTGATAAAAGTGGTTAGAGTCCACTGTCTAATAAAAAGTTTCTAACAATTTCAGTGAAAAAAAATTGTTATATCATAAACCAATGGAATGAAAGGTATCTCCAAGTATCGATACACAATGTCACGATTTGATACACGTGATACATCGATTCAGCACTAATAAACAGTACAACTTTACCTATGTAACTATGAATATTCATAAATCAATCAAATTTCTCTCTACTTTCACTGAAGATTTTATAAGACTATTCATTCAACTTTATTGATATAACAACTCAAATATTCTTCAACTAAAACAATGAATAATTTGATCACTAAGAATATTAACACAAACCATTATAAAGAAAAGCAATAAATACATTCACCAATTATTAAGTTTAGTACTAGATCACATATACCACAAAGAGATAAAAGATTCCATTCCAACCATTTCAATTCAGGCCTACCTCGGAGTGGTGGTCTCGGAACTGTTCTCAGAACAGACTCGATAAATTGGTGTAATGTTAACGGTATGCCTCACAAGCAACCTTCACCTTTTCCAGCAGAATTTCGTCATTATTCAGTGAAATTGCTAATAACCCAGATGTCTTTGATTACATCGCAGTGACTACAAGGGTTGATTTTAACTTCTTCAAGAAGAGTTCCACAGATAACCTTGCATAGAACACTTTTCATTTACATTACAACTGAAGAACTGTTCTCAGACCACTCAAGTTTACTATTATAATGTAAATGGGAACATTTTATCTTGGCCTGGTCCAGAACAAAAACGCAATGCTTTTATAGAGGCCCGGTGTTAAAGGAGCTTAAGGACCAATGCCATTTAGTGTTTGATTTAGTGTTTGCTAGGACTGTGCCACTATGATAGTGTTTTATAACACAAGATGCTTTCCTTATCAACCCTCATCAATGATTTGCAGAAACAGTTGAAATATCCACAGGTACTATCAACTATCTACTCATGGTAGAATTGAACTTTGGACCTAACAAGCAAGCATCTAACTTACTGAATCACCCCAACTTCCCTCAATTATCATATTGAAGTAAAAATATGTTCACAAAATAATAAATCTGGCTCCTGAAAATGTCTTTAAGATATGGACAATAATATTTCATTTGGGCACCTCAAGTCAAAAATATTCCACATAAGTCTTAAAAGGACATGTTCACATATCTGTTTGACCAATCATGCCTTAGTCTCAGAAGCAAGCATCTAACTTACTGAATCACCCCAACTTCCCTCAATTA